CTAGTTTAAAGCCCTATCAATGAGTCCATTTTTAAAGTTACCTTGGAAATGTTACATAGACCGTATTTGTAGCAAATAATTTGTAACATTTTAAATCCCGTTTCTTCCAGAGTATGCCTATTCCTGCAGTCAGCTGACAGAAAGACACAGAATAGCCCTAAAGATGAACCATGTGTATGCTTTCAGCACAAGATCACTTGGGAGCAGGGATGTTGAATTAACCTGCTGGAGTGGGACCTCCCTTCCAGCCAGCGGTCTCCTCCTCAAGGCAAAGCGTGGGAGGCTGCAGGAGTTGCTCTACAGGCAATTTCTGCTCCCAGCCTTCGTGGGGGAGTGGGAGGAGGAGGAGGTGGCCCACCGGCTGCCCTGACACGGGGAGGGCAGCGGTACGTCCCGCGCGGGTGCTGCGGGCGCCTGCAGGGAGAGCCTGACATGTCAAGGCTGCCGAGCGGCAGCACGGGCAGTGGCCGCTGCCCTGCACAGGGAGCGGGCTGCATGCACCCTGCTGCTGGGCCAGCAGGTATTTGTGGCCCACCTGCAATCTCAGGAGGTGGTGGCAAAGCCAATCACCGGTGCAGGTTTTCACTCCGGAGCTGAGGTAGGTAGCCAAGGCTTCCCTTCGCAGGCAGCACACACACATCTTCCAGATTCACCTCACTGTTCCAGCTACCTCCTTTAAGATGAATCACACCCAGATCCCATCTTTCTCCACTAGCCAGAGAGGGAGCTTGGACCGCTCCAGATGCAGATAGCGACAGCTCCTCAAACTGATCTAGTAAGATTAGAAAACCTGTGCTTCCCCATTCCCCTCTTCCCAACAGCAGTTGTGCTGAAAGTACTGGTACTGAAGAGCTCTGACTAAAATTTAAAATCTGACCTCACGGATAAGCTGAACTGTTCCAACTTCTTGCTCTAGAAGCCTACAGTTTTTCCTTTTTTTTTTTTTTTTTTTTTTTTTTTTTTAAAAAATTTTAATAGAGACATGATAAAGCTTTTCACAAGGAAAAAGAAAAATGTTCCCAAAAACTGACATTTTTCTATAAAAAACCACAACCAAAACTCCACTAAAAATCCAAACTTTTAATTTTGGAGCAACGACCTTTATACAAATATTTTAAAGATTGAGTGTGGGTATTCACAAATGCAACAAACTAAGGCATATTCCCCATAGCCACATTCATAAACTAAGGACTTTGAAAAGCCATGTGACCTGATCACATTTAAACCTTTGCAAGATATAGGTAGTACAAATTTTAAACACTTGACTTTTATGTGTAGTGGACTGTCAGTTTATGCAATTATCGTGAGTATGAGTTAGATTAATTTCAAATCACTGGAACAAATACTCTAACAAGAGCCTGATGCTTAAACAGTATTTTAAAGTGCACATCAGAAACCAAACATTTCAATTATAATTTAGAAATGTTGAAGGTATTACATTCCTTTCATACCAAAGTCTGAAAGTTCAGTATGTACACAATCTACAGTCTTGTCTTTATAAATAGGAAATAAGTTATCTGTATATCTCGAAGAACAACTAACAGCTGAAAGGAAGCTGAAGAGTACTTTGATTTGGCCAGAAAATGGAAAAAAAAAAAAACCAGAAAAGTCATCCCATACATGCAACTATTGGAATTCTTTATCCCAGTTACGCGCTCAAGAGTGTTCACAAAAGTGCAATGAAAAATATCTGACTTCTCATTGCTTTTCACTTCTCAGTTGGCATGAAGGGCAGCATTTCTTTTTTTTTCCCCAGCTTTTTAAGCCCTGTTGCTTTTGGACTTTGTAAATTTCAGACAGATACAAAAGTATAAGCACTCACATATAGTAATACTGTAATGATTACAGTAAAATCAAAAGCCACAAAATAATATATTGGTGAACATTCCTTAAGTGGAATTTTAACTTTTGGTCTACTAGGCTAAGGGCAAAAATATGCTGTACAAAATCCCCTTAACATCTGCAGGAACAAGCCTCTTGTTTAGTTTAGCCCCAGCTTAGTGTGTGGTCGGCCTGAACTATGCAATTTCTGAAAAGCACAAGCACACGGGAGACTGTAAAGCTACATTTCTTCCCTACTTGTATCCCCTGCAAAACAACATTCATGTGACAAAATGTACTGTGACGCTCAGAAGAGTCAAAGGCAAACACACGTGTATGGGCAACAAAGGCTGTCAAGGTGACAAACGATTCAAAGGACTGCTCTCCTCTCCACCCGCAGCAAGCTTGAGTGTTGTCAGCTTTCGAGGGGGGTGCTGAGGACTCTTACGAAGGTTGTCGTCCATCTGCAGAGAAACAATGAGAGCCGGATCTGGCAAACAGTAGAATACAGATTACACAATTAGTCCGTTTGTCAGGGCTGCCATCACTAATGCTGGTTTGGGGGATTTTTTTACTGTTGCTTCAGGCCCAGCCAAAACTGATGCCTTGGTTGCTTCCCACTCCCAAATACACGCTTGTGTCAGAGCTGCTACTCATTCTGCTACCACGTGGTGCATCAACCAAAATGCAAGCAAACAGGTGTGCTTCTGCACAAATAATTTTGTCAAGATTACTGAAGAAAGCAACATTGCTACCTTCTCCTAGGAGGTCACAGTTCCAGTTTTGTGCAACAGCAGTTTGACAAAAGTCAAACTGCTAACATCAGTGGATGCTTCTGCATGTTCAGCACCTTGCAGGAACAAATCTTTTTCAAATTAGAAATGCACCCAGAGCTGCTGGGTGAGCTTCGATTAGTTACAGATTTAATAAAGAACTTGTGATGAGACTTTTTCAAAGACTGGTTAAAATTAATCTCTGAATATGAAGATTGCACATTCTCACAGGAAAGTAATCTAATGCCCTGTGCATAATGTGGTATCAAAACAAGCCCTAGTTACTGCAGAATAAACAGAATCACAGGAGACCTCACAGGGGAGATCTCCAGAGGTTGTCCAGTCCATCTCATTTCCTCAGAGTAGGATCAGCTCTCCCTAAACCACTTCTGACAAATGTCTATCTCACCCAATATTTAAAACTTCCACAGCCATGCTTCAATACTGCAAAGAGGAGATACAATCAATACCTAAAGTTAGAGAAGCCGAGCACAATTAACGATCTATTTAACTCACTGAAGAAAGAAATGCCTTCTATCCTTCTAGATAAAGCATTCTTTCTGCACCAGAAAACTAATTCTCCCCAAGTCCATTTCACAAAAGTTGTATAGCTTTTGATAGGTGCTGAGCAACAGCCTTAGAAACAAAGAATACAGAGAAATAAAAGCTAGATGTAGAACAAGCAGGAGGAAGAGTGACTGTAGGTTAGTGCCTGCAGTGTTCAGCCAGGAGCAAGGAGAGCTGGTGGTCAGTCTTAGTTTGCAAGACCCTTTCTGATTTTTGATTAATACATTCACCTCCTCCTTTGCTGGAACGTACACTTACGGAAAGACACCCTTCTTTTGTCGGTGCATGCACTTGCAAGAGAATGTTACTTTGATTGTAATAAAAGTACTTTCTAAGAGCAACACTTTGTTCATTATACATTTAGAATGACAAAAATTCTTCCTGCCTCTCTACACACAGTAACTCAATAGAAAGGATGAAACTAAAATGAAGTGTCCATTGTACAGTTGCAGTTGCCATGCAAGAATATCTGTGAACAGGTAACCACAAGAAAGCAGGAAAATTAAAGACTGAGGCAAAAGTAACCTTTTCAATCAAGTTGGATTCCTTATTTACAAGTTGTGTGAGTTTCTGCAGATTAGCATCTGCTGTATCCTGTTCAGCTGGAGAATGGCCTGGAGAGTGAAAGCAGAAAGAGTGAAAAGGTATTTACAGAAGTTTCAAAATCTGTGAAAAATAAGCCCACATTGGAGAGCAAGTTCATGCAGTATTTTTATCCGAAGAAGAAGTGGAAAAGCCATTCCGTGTGAGAAAAACGGGAGCACCAAGCGTGAGCCACAGCACCAATACAGATGCATTTTGCCAATGCTTGACAGAGTTTAAAACTGAGTTTTAACCCTTACTTTTAACTTTCAATCCCTTCTGCAGAATTTTGGAAGTTTTTTTAGCCTCATTTCCCCACAGAAGCTCTAGCATAAACCACATAAAAACCAATTCTGTCTCGGTTCACAGATGGAATCCTACAGCCCTAATCCAAACAAGACTGCACATGACAAAAAGGGGAAAAGAAACACTGCTTACTTGAGACAGTTAACCTGAAGTAGCAAGTTAAAATATCATCACAGAATCGACACAGGTTAGGAAGCTGTTTCAAATGGTCTTGCAATTGCACTCTGGGGAAGCGCACTTTATAAATTGGTGCAAGGAAACCAAACACAAAGGCATCCAAGGTGGTGGGCCTGAAATGAGTGACAAAACAAAAAACCAAAGCAACTGAGGTGAGACATTAAGGCTTCTAAAATGTAACCATTTTCTGTGTATGTCTAACACAACTCAGGACAGAACGTAAGTCAGCTCCTCTGGCATTCCACTTTTTCATATCAATCTGGTAACTTCTGTACAGACTCTACTGATTTCAGCATCTCTGAACTACAGACATGCTGGAAAGCTGAACAACTAACTTCAGCATTAAAATCCAGTCATGCTGTCATGTGTACTCATACACGAGCTGCTCTAAAATACCTTCTTTCTGGCACCATAAAAGCCAAGCACTACACCCGGGGACCAGCATCCTCTCTCATGAAGCGGTCTGACTTCAGTGGCTGAAGGAACAGACCATACTCTGCAGGACCTGTTGGTGCCACGTCATTAGCAGGGACCTGCTTCCTGGTCTGTGCACACACCAGAGGATGAGAGCACTCATGACCTACACTCTCCTCCTGTGAAGGCAGCTGTAACACCTTCAGGCTTAAAGCATTTTTTTTCCACATAAAACTACAGCAGGTGACATTCAGTGACTACAAAAGCATTCTTTAGTGCTGCACTAATTCATCAAGAACTCCACATCTTCTTAGCAGCTCTGAGCAGCATCTGCCTCTCTGTGAAACAATGCAGGATAAGGAAGAGGCTGTGTTGCTTCAGTTCAACAATCTAATTTGTGCCCTGTTCATACACTCGGATTTATCTGAAAAGCAGAGTGTGAGACATGAAACTACTCTGCAGCACTTTTAACATTCTTGCAGGTTAAAAACAACAACAACAAAGTTTAAGGGTCCACAGAGTTATGCACTACCTGTTTTATTAGTTATTAAAAGATAAAATAAAATAAAATAAAATAAAATAAAACCACACTCACGCATCTCCAAAGAAAAACTGCGATGTCCCCAATCTCTTTGACAGTAGATTTAGGCACTCCTTGGCATCCCTGTATATCTGATGAGACACAGGAGCAACTAAGAGCCCTAGGCATAGTAAAGCTGTGGCACATCACTGTTCATTGTCTGACAGCGTGCTAAACCGTTTCAGTTCTTGCCTGTGACAGCATCCACGTACAAATTCTCTACCACACAACACACACCTGTGCTTCCACTTCAGTCAGACTGTAGAGGGGAGGCCCTCCCCTGGTCAGCAAGATCCTGTTCAGTGCTTCCCTGGACATCTTCCCAGGCAGATATAAACTCAGTGGGAAGGCAATTCTTGAGGCAAACCATGGCTTGGTCACACTGCAGTAGTTTTCAGCCTCAACCCAGAAAGTGTGCAGCTGTATCAACACAAGGGAAAATATGACTGGAATCTGAGTAAGAATAGGAGACAGCTTAAAAGTCTGATGTGGAAGATCTGTCAGAGAAGTAGGAGCATCATGAAGTACTGTAATTTAAGCCAGTCAGGCTCCATAAACGATTATGCTAAACTTCTGAGTGTAGGGGTACATAATTAAGGGAACAGTTACCATCCACCTAAAGAAACACAACAAAGATATTACACAGACCTATATATATGTGCATAAAATTACATACATGTTTATGTTTAAGTATGTATGCAAGTATAAATACAGACACACTGTACACAGAGAATAGATTTTAAAAAGGAAGTTTTAGATATACAGGATCAGGTTGGAGCTTTTTTTTTTTAAGGTTAAATAAATGTGGAAAGATATTATGAGCTTATGAATTTGAAACCTTGCAGAGCAGCTGAAGAGGCTAGCCTATGATATCATATGGCCAGAGTATTTTTTCCTGTACAAACTGAAACCAAAGTCACTTGAGAGATCCAGTGTCTGGGGATTTTTACAGTTCTAATGTCCATACACGAAATTGGTGAGGGCATGTGGCCATGTGCTATTCAGAACCAAGAAATGGCTATTCCATGATGGCTATTTTAATGTCTCAAAAGTCCTAACTGAACAGTTAAAAAAGTTTCCACAATTGTGCATCCAACATCAGACATACCACAACTTACTCAAAGCTTTTTCAAAAGAATCCTATGAAACAAAAAACAGCTACAATAAGCTGTTTTGAGGATCATGTTTCCCAAAAAGTATCTAAAAGCAAAAAAAATTTCATATAAAAATACCTTTCAGAAATTCATTATTATTACATTGCACCCCACAATCACACAGTTCTTTCCCTCTTGAAAGCTGCTAGGAAGTTATTTCCAGTATTGCACTAACAAAGCAAACACCTTCCAGCCAGGACTGTGGCTGAATGACTGTAATGTCTTTCACGCTGGACACCTCTTGTAGCATTCAATTCCAAAGGTTCTGATCCCTGTAAAGCATTTCTCAATACTTACCAGACCAGGAAGCAGTTTCTCTTCAAGTAGTGCAATATATGCCAGTGTATCAGCTCCTTGTTTTGCAGACAATTCATAATCAGCATTATATTTCTACAAATTAAAAAACAAAAAAAAACCCCAACCATACTACAAATAGAGTTACACAGAACTTTCCAAGAAGATGATCAATGCAACCCAAAGTTGCTTCAAACTTAACAGCTATCCAGTCAGTAAAAATAAGTACACTTTTCAGGACAGAAAGCATGAGCTTGCTAGAATTTCTTTACTTCTTCTAGTCAGCTATGTCCAACCTTCTTGCATCTCACTTTTCCTCTTTCCCATTCTTAGATTTTTGGGCCCTCATGTTCCCAAAATAACTCTCATGTCTCCTTCCCATTGCTTTCCAAGCAGCTGTCCAGTGATACAGAGGCAATTTTTCAGGACTTTGGCATGTAGCAAAACTCTGACAAATCTCCATCTCTATTTCTGACAAAGCATTTGGCACTTAAGCTGCTGTGAGCATAAAAAAAGGCAAGCATTCCCATCTTTTGCTTTTAATTACTATTCTAAAAGTTCAGAAATTGGACGCTAACAATGTAAGAGACCAACTGCCCAGCTAAATTAATGCAGTTACAGCTGACCAAGCTTTTAATTCTGACACTGGATCCTTTTAAGATACATTAAAAGGATTGGTAAACTTTTTTGGGGGATAAGAGATTTGCATCATTAATTTAGAAACACAGGATCTTGTGCTGACTCTCAGATATCTGAGAAGTAAGCATATTATTGGTTTACTTTGACTCAAAGAGAGATGTTTTTTCTCCAACATTAAAGAATCTTCGGTATTCAAACAGCTATTTAAATCCTGAATTTTAAAACAACTGTCTAAAATCCCACCTGAAATGTGCAGTTTTCAGATTCTGTTTTTCTCCCTCCAAAGACTGAAAGTTTTACTAACATAGCATTCATCAGATAATCTTCTTGACTAGGCCAGAACTGAATTTCTAATGCAAAAACATAACAGTGGGATGCAGAACCACCTTAGAAATAAAAAGATGATGCTGTGCTTTATTAGACATCTTTATGCTTTGTGAAAAGAAGAAATCTGATAGCTTCTTTCTTTGTGAATAAAACATCTCAGAGATCTGCAAAAGGCAACCAGGAGTTGACTATGCAATAACATGATGTGCATCAAGAAATGCCTGCAGTTTTACACTACAAGCTATAGAAAAACATTGTAGATTAAAACAAACACTGTATGTATTATCCTTTCAGTAAAAGAGGGCTGGGAGATGATTAAAACCACTCTTTCCAAAGTCTGATATCATAGGTCTGCAAAGCTGTAATGACCCTGAAAGTGTTATAATTAAGGGCAGGGTGCTCAGTGAGAAATTGCTCAGCTAAGGCCAGTTTGTTGTCCTTTTGAATAAACACCTTCCTTGTGCCTCTTTTTAAATATTTCCCATAACTAACAAACTTTCAAACAGAAATCTGTTATCCATTATTTTGCAATTTTCACACATATGAAAGACAGGGAAGTGCTGGGTCCGAACTGAGCTTCAGGTTTTCAGAAGCTTGTACTAACATATCCAGGAGACACAAAGAGTCACTACAAGGCAGAGAAAACACATCTTTTGAAAGAGACCTACCTGCTTTCTTAAGAAGTTTAATATTTTTGCTGGCTGAGAAATAACAATGTCTTCTGCTATCAGGACTGGTACATCTCCTAGAAGTCACAAATAATACAGTCAATAATTTATATGAATGAGCTCTAACACAACCAGAAAGCCATCACTGACTTAATCTGCTTCCCTTCTCTCCACAGCATGCTCTGACCTTCCTGATATGTACATATAAAATAAGCTCTGCATAGCAGGGGAGTTCTGCCAAGGTCACAAACACATCTAGTGTATTGTGGCCTTCACTAATAACAATTTATAAAAAAAGTGTCCACATCAAATCAGACTAAATCAATGTCTTCTGCTAGATATCTGGTATTTTGAAAATCAGACTACTTGTCTGGATTTCAGATGTTCCTCTTATGACAAAAATTCCAACCTAGTCCAACTGCCCTGTCCACTCATTCCCCTCTGGGCCCCTCCTTCCTTCTCTGGTTTTTCTCTGCCCTTCCCCTCCAAATCCATTTTAACCACCAGTTTTCTCTAGCCTTGCTACAACCACTGCCCAAGCTACCACTGTATGACCATGAACTAACTGAAACAGGCACTTCCCTTTTGTCAGAAGCTTTTGCTCATCAGGCTGCAGGATCAATGACTGTAGAATGTAAAATGGCTATTAACAGGGATTGCATCTTAGAGCACATTCACAACAGAACTGCCACAACATGACTGGGCTGCTAAATGCTATTAAAGTATCAATTACCAACAACACTTACTATTTGGAGGTGTTTCTTGTTTGGTTTTGGGGTTGTTGTTTTGGTTTGGTTTGTTGTTTTTGTTTGTTTGTTTGTTTGTTTGTTTTTGTTATTGTTTTAATTAATTTTATGTATTTTGGCTATGAAGAAAACAACTGAACTTTTGGCAAGTACCTAAACTGATGATGTGGTAAGTGTAAATGACAGACTACTTTAACCCTACAGTGATTTTACCCCTCTAGAATACACCAAGAGAGTAACTTAAGTGCTGACTAAACTGAGAAGCACTGTGTACAGGTATCCAGTACAAAGAAGTCCTCTCCATTATCTTATAATCAACTTCTCTGGTAATAGGTTGCTAGTCACCTTTTGCAAGTCAACCTCTCTTAACACTGTACCAAACATCCTAGCTGATGCAAGTTACACTCTTTGAGACTCACATTCCACTTCCAACTGTGCCAGACTGTTAAATTATGTATCATTAAAGAATGCTATTTCTGTAGCCAGGTTTAGTTACTAGCATTATGCATATGCAAAGTAAAAAAAAGCTCAGAAATTTGCTTTCACTATACCATCAATGTAGACTGCTTGACAGAAAGAGGTCCTACTTGGCAGCACTTTGTTGGCTGTCCACTGCTTCACCCCTACACACTTTAAAAAAGCGTCCTTATGATCTCCACTATTTTATTCCCACAAATCCATTCCACTTGATCCTGTAAAATCACTTATTGGCATATCACGACAGCATGTAGCCTTCCCTGGAGCAGGTTATGTTTGTGAATGCAAAACCAAAGCAAACTCAGAAACAAGGAAACCAAAAAAAAGCTGGAAACCACACTTACAATGCGACAGTGACCGAAAGAAACTAAAATGCCAGGATGGTACCTTTTGGAGCTCTCCAAGAGTTACTTATCGTATTCACTGTCAGGGGAGCACCAGAAAATTTAGCGTAAGCCTGTGCTTGTGGAGAAAGAAACGTAGTCACTATGTGTAAGGTGAGATGGCGCTTTCCAATCGTTTTAAACAGCTTCAGGCACTGAAGACCGACAAAAACCAAATGCGCCTCCCGGGGCACTGGTTTTAGTCGGTCTTCAGTGCCCTAATGCGCTTCTAGGTGCTGCCGCCGGCTGAGG